AAATTGTTGGTGGTGTTGTTGATCTATGTCGTCCGCGACAGGCGCGAGAGCGTCATCGTCGGCAAAGGCGTCGGGTCTGAGCTTGTCGCGGCGGATCTGGGGCGGGAGGTGGGCGGAGAGATGGGCGGGTGATTTGTCCAAGGCATTAGAGAAACTGGAGAAGATTCCTTGATGATAATCGTGGGACATAGAAGAATTGGCACAATTTGTTGTTGGCTTATTGGACAAAATTAATGGACCTTTTGCGATTCCCATATCATAAACAATAATTACAGTTATTCTTCTTCTTCTGATCCTTCATATCGCCGCCGGATCCAAAATTAATCCACCAATTCCCTCCGCATAATACAATCCCCCAATTTTCTTCTTCAATTCCTTCAAAAACAGACTAATTTCAATTAAAAAGGAAAGAAAAAAAAGAGATGGGTTTGTAATAATGAATGAATATTAGCTTACCTGTGTGTCTGTGAGAGAGTTGCAAAAGAGGCAAAGTTGTCAAGAAATGGTTTTTCTTTTTCTTTTGTGTGTGATTCTTTTTCTCTCTCTACAGGAAGGGTTTGGATATGAGTTTCTGATGTTTTTGTTTTCTTTCTTTCGGGTTCAGCTGGAAATTGAAGGAGGGAGTGTGTAGATGAGAATTGAGGTGAGAAAGTAAAAGAAATTGAGAGGGAAGGGGAAGGGAAGTGACTGATATTTTCTCTCAACAACAAACAAAGAGAGAATAGAGAGAGAGAAAGGGGAAGGGGGTCGCTGTTGTTCTTACGCTCGCTTACTCTTTCTTTTACCAAGGCATCATCGTCACTTTTTGTATTTATTTTTTTTGTATTATTTATTTTCCTGCCCCATTTGTCTCTTTTGATTTTTGTTTATTTTTTATCATTCAAAAAAAATACAGGAGAGAGGGAGAGAGAGGTAATAAAAATTTGTGAGATTTATAACATTCGTTTTTTTTTTTGTTTGTATTTTGTGTGTGTGTGTGACGGTGTGAGAGAGAGCACACTTTCCAATGTGTTTTTCTATTTAATGACATCAATAATTATTTGTTTCATTTATTTCTTTGTCTTGTTCATTTCTTTTTTATTTTTATTTTTTAACACCGAATTTACTTGGGAAGAAAGCTTGATAGTATTAATAGCTCGATGTGTTTCTAAAGTATTTATTTCTAATATCATTCAAAGCAGAGGTATTTACGCCTAAATTGAGTACTCACTCTGTCACTCGCATATTTCTTAGTATTTTTTTCTTTTTTTAAGATTACGCTTAACATACAAGTATAACTTTAGAGTTTTTATAATTAAATTATATATATTGAAAAACAAAGTAGGCACTACAGCTAGGTTTTGATACCACTTGTTAAAGACAACGGTACCTCAAGTATCTCCATAATTGTATGATATTGTCCGCTTTACTTTTGCTTTCATCCAAAATGTTTCATACCAATAGAAATAATTGTACCTATCTATATATCATGCATCATACTCTTCCCTAACCAATGTGAGACTTTGTTTGCATTCTCCTTACAAACTAGATCAAAAATTGTCAACTTAAATCTCAAGATCGTGATTGTCGGGAGTTAAGCAGCTAATAAGTAGCAAATCGATAAGTTCGACTTAGCAGTCTGAACCTTTAGACCAAAACACCAAATGATAGGTTGCATAGTACTATACTTCAAACGATTAGCTTTTCTTATATTGATCACACGTGTCATATTGATACTCATATCTTTCAATAAATATAATATTACAATCCAATTCAAACTTTAACTCAAATATAATATAAAATATAAAAGTATCATATCCATAATTTTTAATGAGTAAAAAGTTAATAAATAGTAATTAGTAAACGTCACTTCTAAAAGTATTTCATTACAAAATAAAGCTGGAAAAGAAATCTCCAAACCCTATATACCATCTACAAAGGATAGTCGAACAAATATCTTATATACATTTTAGGGACCAAAATTTAAAAGCATAGAGATGGGAAATGGAATAAAAGTAATATATATATATATATATATATATATATATATATATCAGGTAAATTCA